ATTTTAAAAATATTTTATCTATTATTTTTATTTTATGTGTATGAGTGTATTGCCTGCATGCATGTGAGTGCACCTGTGTCGTGCAATGCCGCGGAGGTCAGAAGAGGCTTTGGATTCTCCTGGAACTGGAGTTAAGGACAGTTCATAGCCGCCATGTGGGTGTTGGGAATCGAACCCAGGTCCTCTGCAAGAGCAGTCAGTGCTCTTAACCACTGAGCCATCTCTCCAGCCCCTTCTTTTCTTTTTTAAATGATGTCTTGCTGTGTGGCCCAGGATGACCTTCTACTCTAGATCCCCCTATCCCCACCTCCTGAGCAATAAGAATGACGGCCATGAGCTGTCATTTTTTTTTTTTTCTAATTTTAAAATTATGGGGCTGGAGAGATGGCTCAACAGTTAAGAGCACTAGTTGCTCTTGCAGAGGACTCAGGTTCGGTTCCTAGCATCCGCATAACTAACAACCATCCTTAACTCCAGATCCAATGCCCTCTTCTGGCCTCCACAGACATTGCATGACACCAGTGCTCTTACATACATGCAGGTAAAACATATAAAATAAAAATAAATCAATTAAAAAATTTAATATTTATTTATTTGTGTGGGTGGGGTGTATATGTGTAGAGGTCAGAAGACATCTTTTGGGAGTTGGTTCTCTCCTTCCACCATCTGAGTCCAGGAACTAAACTCTGGGTGTCAGGCATGGCTGCAGGAGTCTACTGGCTGAGCCATCTCACCAGCCCCAAGCTATTACCTTTTAGTCATCTTTTTCTTCCAGGGTTTCTGAATACACCTAGATATACACTTTACCTCCTGCCCTTGGCTCTGCTGTTCCCTTCTCTGAGAACTTGTCCTGCGAGGTGATCAGATGTGAAGATGTGTAGAAAAGTGTTAACTGTCATTAGGGAAATCCAGATCTGGTTAGAAGGGTGGTTACATGATTATAAACCGTCTGCCCTGAGGACAGACCTCATGATCAGTGGTCATCTTTCTAGTCTGTGACCCTCGGTCAGGAGTTTGGGGTACTTCCAGAGTCTTCCTCTTTCTAGGCCCCTAAGTGGGTTTGGGGTATGTATCCAGGCCACTGTTACAAGTCAGACTCTCCCAGTTTTTCCTGAAAGAATTTCAATGGTACAGTACCTGCTTAGCATGTAGGAGGCAGTGTGTTCAGTCTCCAGTATGGGGGCACATGCACACACGCATGCACATAAAACTCCCAGCTTCCACTATGGCACTTTAGCAGAGAAGCAGCATATTACTATGGGTAGTAAATTCCATGATGATAGAACTCAACTTGGGTGGCAGTGGGAGTATGGAATAATGTTCTACAGTGCATGTTATGAATGGTGTACTTTGAAAAACAGTCACTTCTGACATTCTGGGCCTTCATAAGCCCAGGTCTGCACTCAGCTGGTCTCTGCTTGTTCCTCGAGCCTCCTGCCTCCCAAGGCCAGGACCCCTTGGCTCGATTGTTACTAGTGAGTCCCTGGTACCCGATTCCATCCCTATCTTCCTCTTTCTCTACAGGTGGCTGTGCTGAGTGTCACAGAGCAGACAGTCTCCCCGATTCCAGCTACCCCTGAAGACCCTGCCCCACTCTGGGGTTCCCCAGCTACCCAGAGCAGTCCCAGAGATGGAGGCTTGCAGGGTGAGGGGGTACAGTGGGTCCCATGTGGTTTTCTGGGTTGGGGGATACTCACCATCTGACCCCTCTGGCAGGACTTTGTCTTCCTAGCTCTCCTGTGAATGGGATTGGAGGGGCTCAGGGACTTCAGAGCATTGGAGTCTAGAGGTCAACAGCTCCAACTGGGGAAGGGGAATCTGTATGACCTCCCCTCCCAAGCCCAGCAGGGATGCTGACTCCTGTCTACCCCCTTACCCCAGGGTTGCCAGGAACCAGTGAGAGTGTGAGCACTCCACTGCCCCCTCAAGATAGTAGGTATACTGGCTGAGGGAATGGGATGGGGGTCAAATGCAAGTCCATGGCTGCCAACCTGTTGTTCTTTTGCAGACAGAGTCCATACTTGGGGGCTGCCTGGGCCTGCTGGCCCCAAGGGAGACACTGGCAGCCGGGGCCCAGCAGGGATGAGAGGCCCACCAGGTGAGTGTGTACGACCCTGCCTCCCTAGTTTCTTTAGGCATTTCTCCTCCTAGGAGACCCAGGCTAGGGCCTTCTTCCCTAGCCCTAACATAGCCAGGGTGACCAGGCCTCTTATACTCTCTGGCCTCTCTGCTCACTGAAGGGGTACCCACTCATGCCTGACCTCTGAAATCCTCTCCTGGTTCGCACCCTGGTTGATTACCCTCAGCAGATCCTGAGCTGGGCACTAGATGGGGTCAGGCAAGTCCCTGCCTCCTGGATGGGAGGGGGCTAGGCAGAGGAGAAACACCTGTGCCTACCCGCTGTGACTAGGAGTCTGTGTAGGATATTGGGGATCTGGGAGCCCTACAGAAGGCAACTCAGAACAGCTTGCTTGGGATAGACAGCACAGTGCTGTGTTCATCCCCCTAACAGATGTCAAGGAGGGCAGGCCTGTGCAGCCTTCTGTACCCTCAGATCCAAACTGCCTTGACCCATCCCCTTGAAACTTACCTGGTTCTTCCTGCCTCCGGTGAGTCCACCGACCCCTGTGTTATTGCTGTAGGTCCACAAGGCCCCCCAGGGAGCCCTGGCCAAACTGGAGCTGCAGGCACCCCTGGAAAGATGGGACCTCCAGGCCCTCCAGGGCCTCCTGGTCCTCCAGGTCCCCCAACCCCTGTTGGGCCACCCTATGCCCGGATCTCCCAGCATGGTGAGTCCTCCTGGGGTCCCAGAAAGTTGGGGTGGGGTAGCTGAGGATAAAGTAGCCATTGCTGCTACCATCTATCAGATATCTTCTATGTGTCAGGCTTGCCCTTGCTAGGCTAGGTTTGCTCATGCTAGGCCACATGTCACCCAGTTGTCCTAAGGGGCTACCATTCTCTGCTCATAGAGAAAGGACACAAGCCAGAGAGGGAAGTCATGTGCCGTGTTCCCCTGAAACCAAGGGAGTGGTTTCAGACCCACATACTTAGAACCATCTGGCATTAGGCTCTCCCCAAAAGCCTCAGAGCTGGCTGCAGTCCAGCCCTCACAATGCTGGGAAGCTCAAGGCCTAACCTCAAGAAGTGAGCTCTAAGTAACCAAGGTCACAACCCTGGTCCTGTGTTCAGAGTGGCCTCAACCCCTCCACTAGCAGGGCGCTGACATGCATCTCCAGTGTTTCCTTCTAGCAGCCTTGCCTGACCTACATGTGTAGTGCCAGGGGTCGGAGCATGCAGGGCCAGCTTCAGTCCCATCTACATATTATCTTTGGTGGCTACCTGGGTCCCATTCATTTATTCATTCTCTCATTCCATCGTTCGTTCCATCTCATCATTTATTGTTTTGCTCCTAGCCTCGGTTTCTTTGTTTCTACAATGGGGATGTTGACAACACCAGCCTCCCAAAGCTCCACAATGCTCAATGCACAAAAGCTTTGAATGCTGTAGATGGTTGATGAATGACAGCTTTCATTTGGCAGGTGACAATACAGGAGAAGAAGAGAGCCATTCTAGATGCCACTAGGCTAGACTGTGGCAGGGTTAGAACCCAGGTCTCCCTGTCTCTCTCTGTTACCTGCCCTAGCAGCAGGTGCTGGTGGTCCTGTCTGTGCTACACACTGTCCCCTAGGGCAGTCAGAGCTGCTGTGTCAGAGGTGGCAGGTAAAGACTGACTGTCCAATTCCCTCAGCTCTGCTCACTCACCATCTTTCCTCTTCCAGGGGATCCATTACTGTCCAACACCTTCACTGAGACCAACAGCCACTGGCCCCAAGGACCCACTGGGCCTCCAGGCCCTCCAGGTCCCCCAGGGCCCATGGGTGAGTTGAGTCCAGGCTTGGGAGAAGGGAAGGAATCAGTAGACAGCGGTGGGACTATGCTGTGGCTATTTATGGGAGACAGGTCATGGGGGATTTCTTGTTATTGTAGTTCATTCCACTCCTGAAGACATCCTGTCTCATTCAGGTCCCCCTGGACTTCCTGGACCCACAGGTGCCCCTGGGAGTCCTGGAAACATGGTAAGTCATTTTCTAAGTGCTTCCACCCATGCAGAAGTCCATTCACCCATCTATTCATCCATCCATTCAATAAGTACTTTGATATGCAAAGTACTTTTCATAAATCTTCTTACTCAATTCATGTAACAAGAAGCCAGTATTGTTATCCCCCAAGGCCAAGAAAAGGGAAGACTCTTCAGGCTTGGCCAGTACATGGAGTGGGGAGCCAGATCTGGAGCCAGATCTCTTTAACACTGTATGAACTGCCTGCTTCGTGCTAGACATTTGGGCATATGCTGAAATCTGGGCTCCCTCTGTCCTATCCCCGCTGTCTCCATCTCCTGTCTACCCTGTCCTACCCCAGCACAAGACTGAGGCCCTGTCTTATTGTTTAGGGTCCCCCAGGCCCTTCTGGACCCAAAGGAATCCCTGGCCGCCCAGGAGAGAAAGGCGAGAGAGTAAGTATCAGATGACCTCAGATGGGAAATTCTGAAGAATTCCAGGGGCCCAGGGCAGAGCTTTCACAGCTAACATCATCCCTTTCTCCCTCTTCCACAGGGACTGCCTGGAGAACCTGGTCCACAAGGTTTTATGGGGCAGCAGGTAAGTGATGCTATCCACTCTACCCACCCCTCCATTATCCCATCGGTTCAGACCCCTGCAACAGGAACCCCTGACCCTTCTGATCAGGGCAGCTTCATTCTGTCAGTTGCTCTCTGTTGCTGGGAGTCATCATCCATCTTTCCCAGTCTGGCACCTGTGGCTCTGTATCCATTTCCTTCTGGCTCTTTCTCTACATGCCTTCTGTGTCTTTGACTCTGTATTTCTCTTCATTCTCTGTCCCTGAATGTAGATTTGTCCATTTCTCCTTTACTGGAGTCAATTTTTGCTTTATGTGTTTTGAATCCTGTTTAGGCTATCAATGCTGCTTTGTCTTTATGGAATTAATATCTCTGCCTCTAGAAATACTTCTTGTCCTGAATTCTGCTTTGCTTGCTATTAAAGTAGCCATATCAATGTTGTAATGTTCAGGGTTTGCATATGGTATTTTTTTCCATTTTCTTTCAACTTGTCTGTGCCAATATTTTTAAAGTAAATATCTTGTAAATAACATAGAACAAAAGTCTTTCTTTTTTAAAAAAAATAGTCTGAGATTCCATTTCATTTCCACAAATAGCTTTTTAGCTGGAGCCAGGTGTGGTGGCGCACGCCTTTAATCCCAGCACTCGGAAGGCAGATGCAGGCAGATCTCTGTGAGTTCCAGGCCAGCTGGGGCTACTGGGAGACCCTGTTTCAAAAAGACAGGAAAAAAAGATTTATTTATTTTATTTTTATGTGTGTGTATGCCTGAGTCTGTGCATGTGCACTATGTCACACACATAGAGGAGGTCAGAGGAGGGCATTGGATCCTCTGGAACTGGAGTTACAAGTGGTTGTGAGCTCCCCTATGTGGTTTCTGAGAACTGAACCTGGGTCCTCTGCTATTATTATTGCTTTAAAGTCAGTTGTCTTTTTTTAAAAAAAATTAAGAACGCAAATTAGCTGGGCATGGTGCCGCACGCCTTTAATCCCAGCACTCGGGAGGCAGAGGTAGGTGGATCTCTGTGAGTTTAAGGCCAACCTGGTCTACATAGTGAATCCAGGACAGCTGGGGCTACAGGGGGTCTCAAAAAGACCAAAAAAAAAGAATGCAAATTAAAATACAGTCAGTCCTGTACATCTGTAGGCTCTGCAGTTATGGATTTGATCAACTATGAGTTGAAACATTCTAAAATAATAACTATATCTAGGCTGGAGAGATGTCTCAGAGGTTAAGAGCACCGACTGCTCTTGCAGAGGACCCAGATTCAATTCCCAGCACCCACATGGCAGCTAACAACCATCTGTAACTCCAGTTCCAGGGGATCCAATGGCCTCTTCTGACCTCTGTGGGCATTGCACAACATGGGTTCACTTACGCACATGCAGGCAATACACTCATACACATAAATAAATACATAAACATAATTGTATCTGTATTGAATATGTACCGATTTTTTTTAAAGCATTCTTCCCCTACCCCATTACTGAGGATCAAATCCAGGGCCTTATACATGCTAAGTAAGCACTCTACCATGGAGGTATATCCCCAAGCCCTCTCTTTTCTAAAGATTTACTTATTTTTGTTTGTGTGTGTGTGCATGCGTGAGTGCCCTCAGAGGTCAGAAGAGCAGATCCCTTGGAGATGGAGTTATAGGTGGTTGTGAGCCACCCAACATGGGTGCTAGGAACTGAACTTGGATCCTCTAGAAGAGCAGCAGGTGCTTTTAACCACTCATCTTTCCAGCCCCAATCCCTCTACTTATTTTTTTGAGAAAAGAACTTGCAATCTTCCTGCTTCAGCCTCCTGAGTAGCTGAGGTTACAGACCTGTGCCATCATGCCCAGTTCTTTGTTTTTTAATATTTTATTTTTTATTATTTTTATTTTATGTGTATGAATGTATTGCCCTCATGTATGTAAGTGCACTCATGTTGTCCAATGCCCGTAGAGGTCAGAAAAGAGTGTCTGATTCTCTTGAATTGGAGTTATAGACAGTTGTTAGCCACCATGTGGGTGCTGGGAATTGAACCCTGGGTCCTCTGCAAGAGCAGCCAGTGCTCTTAACTACTGAGCCATCTCTCCAGCCCCAATGCCCAGTTCTTATCATTCTTTCCTAAACATAACAGTATAGCAACCATTTATACAGTATTTACATTGTATTATAAATAGTCTAGAGACAGTGTAACAAATGTATAGTTTAACAAATATACAAGAGTGGGTGTGTGTAGGATTTATACAAATACTGTGCATTTTATCTGAGGGATTTGAACATCTATGGAGTTTTTTTTTTTTTTTAATGTGTATGTGTGTATTGCCTGCATGTAGGTAAGTGCACCCATGTCGTGCAATGCCCGCAGAGGAAAGAAGAGGCTGTTGGATCCCCTGGGACTGGAGTTGCAGACGATTGTTAGCTGCCATGTAGGTGCTGGGATTTGAACCCAGGTCTTCTGCAAGAACAACCAGTGTTCCTAACCACTGAGCCATCTCTCCAGCCCCCCATCTATGGAGTTTTATATCTGCATGGGCATTGAATTCCACATGAACATGAAAGGATGACTAGTCTTTTAACTTTACTGATGTATTTACCATTTCTATGATAAACACTAGGACCAAAAGCAACTTGGGAAAGAAGTGGTTTATTTTACCTTAGAAGTTACAGTCCATCAATGAGGAAAACCAGGGCAGGAGCTCAAGACAGGAACCTGTGGGCAGAAACTGAAACGCAAACCATGAAGGAGCAGTGCTTACTGGCTTGCTCCCTCTGGTTCATGACCAGGCTGGCTTCCATCTCAGAGATCACCTGCCTCTGCCTCCTGAGTGCCCTTTTTATATAGCCTTCTTTCACTTAGTAACACACATTTAAATTTTTTCATGCCTTTCCATGACTTGATAGCTCATTTCTTTTGTGTGTTGAAAAACATCTTGTTTTCTGGATATACTGTTTATCCATTTGCCTACTGAAAGATACCTTGATTGTCACCAAATAAAACTGTATACACATCTCTAGGCAGGTTTTTGTGGGAACATAAAGTTTTCAGTTCATTTGCATAGACCTATAAGCATGATTGCTGGGTCATAGATAAGATTAGTTTTAGCAGAAACTGCCAAGTGGGGCTGGAGATGTAGCTCAGTTGGTAGAGTGTTTGCCCAGCATACAGAAACCCTGGGGTTCAGTTCTCAGCACCACATAAATTGGCATGGTAGTGGCACCTGTAATCCCTGTACTCAGGAAGTGGAGGCAGTTGGATCAGAAGTTCAAGGTCATCTTCAGCTACATAGCTACATAGTGATTTTTGAGGCCAGCATGAGATACATGAGACCTTGTCAAGAAGAAAAGGAAAGGGAAACATGGAAAGGGAAGGGAAGGAGCTGCCAAAGTGTCTTGCAAAGTGACTGTGCCATATTGCCTTCCTACAATGAATGAGAGCTAGGTCTGTCCCACATCTTCACCTGTACTTAGTATTAGCACTGTCGGGTATTTGGGCCATTTTAATAGATGTGCAGTACTATCTCATAGGGAAGGGCATTTAGGTTTGTGGTTGTTGTTATTGCTGTGGTGGTGGTGGTTTTGGTTTGGTTTAGCCCAAGCTGTCCTTAAACTCAGAGAAACTCCTGCCTCAGCCTCCTGAGTGCTGGTATTGCCAACATGCCCCACTACCCAGCTTGGGAGTTGGCTTTGTTTTATCTCGCTGCTGTTTTAATTTGCAATTCCCTGATGATACATGGTGGCAAAGCAGTTTTTCATGTGTTTATTTGCCATTTGTTCATCTTCTTTGTAGAAGTGTCTGTTTGGGTCTCTTGCCTGTTATAGGACAGAGTTTGTAAAAAAAAAATTATCAACATCACTTTAAGAAAAGTAGCAAGGTAAATTTTAATTTTCGACCGGCCGGGCTGTCTATCTCGGGAGTAGAAGCAGCCCTGATGATTGTTAAGTCAGAGTTTTTATAGGATTACAGAATTATTATTAAAACAGGACATTTGTGAACCAATAAGGTTTGTACAACATAGCAGTATTTTGATTCTATTAACAACCAATCATTGTACAGATAAGTGATACAGTCATATAACTTGGCACTCAACTTTGTGACATTAAAAACTAGCCAACTGCTTTAGCCATAACAAGTAAAATAAGACAGTCAAGGTAAATAACTTCTAGGTGGTCATACAATAACAGGATAACAAGGATGGTCTTATGCCCTGTGTCAGGGTGACCCAAGACAGCAAGTGGATTACAGAAGCGAAAACAAGCTGGTTAGTAAAAATATAATATCTGGAATTAGCACATTCCATGATTCATGGCGAGGGCAATTTTCCAAGGCCCAAGGTTGGCCCCCTTTTCCTTTCGATGTGGAGCAAAGTTGCTGCTGAAATGGCTCTGAACAAAATGGAGTAACTTAGGGAAGTTTGCTGAGCCAGTTCATTGCCCACTCCTGTTGTGAGTAAGGTTAATTCTTTGGCCTATTAGGCATAGTTTCTTCAGGTATTGGTATTAATTGTTTATATTGAGTTCTTAATATCATGAGTTTTACTGTCTGAAATCTTTGATTAATAAATTTTACAAGGGCATTTAAGATACAAGGCCCAAGAGTAAAAATTAAAAGAATAAGAATCACAGGCCCAGAAACAGCACTTAACAAGGTGGTCAGCCAGGGTGACCAGGAAAATAAGGACTCATACCAGTTTTGGTGATTTCTGAGATCCCTTTCTCGAGCATTGATTTGTTGCTGGACTAACCTAATACCATCTCTAATCACTTTAGTATGGTTAGCATAGAAGCAAGATTTTTCACCCAGTATCATGTATAATCCTCCTTGTTATATAAAGACAAGATCTAACCCTCGGCAATTTTGTAACACCACCTCAGCTAATGAATCCAGGGAATAAGTCAAATTTTTAATTTGATGTACAATATCCTTTAAATCTAGATTTATTTGTTGGGTGAGAGCTTTAAAATTTACTTTTTTTTTTTTTTATAAGTGTAGCGGTCCCTATTCCTGTGGCACCCACTGTACCTGCTCCTAT